GTACTTATATTATTTATAGCTGTAAAAAACATAAAATTACTATACTTTCGCTGTTGTAAGAGGATAATTCTTATGGTTGTAATAATAATTCAAATAAAGAATAGTCATGCCTCTGGTGAGTTGCCTTATCGTATAAATTATTGTGAACTAATCTATACGTGTGGGTTTTTATATGCGCGGTAGTGTTTCGGCTAGACAATTATCAAAGCCTGCAATAAGAAATGGTTTAGCCGGAACGAACTAATTTCGGGCCAAGCTGCAATAAGAGATAGTTTAGCCGGAATGAAATAATTTCGAGCCAACCTGCAATAAGAAATAGTTTAGCCGGAACGAAATAATTTAGGTTCGAAATATTTCGGAGTGTAAAATAATTTCTTCCGGGCGAAATATCTCGGATTCGTCCGAAACACGAAAGTAGTCAAGTTTAATTATTATTTATCCCTATCTTTAGCATGTCATAAAATGATTCGTTACAATATCCCAAGATCATCAATTTCTTCATTCCAATTTCCATGTCGACATTATGTTAACTTTTCTTTACCTTTTTCAATAGATTCATAGGTTTCAATTTCATATCTAATCTTCAAAGTCTCTTCAATAATTTTCTCAACACATACCGACATGTTTTCATTCCTTTTAACTTCTCTATCTTCTTTCTTGAATGTCATATAATGCTCTCTATGTCATACCAATTACATCGTTTGATTTATCGATCATTCTGTAATTCCTGTAATAGTAGAGACGGTCGAAGTGATCCTACCATCAATAGCGATAGGTGCGGTTAATAGAGAATAGTTATTCCTGCACCAATTCACATCAATATACTGCCAATTCTTAATCTCATCTCTTTTGTATGACCGATTCGGTGGCTCTTCAGATCTTTAGGAATAAGTAATAAAAATTATTAAGTTTATCAAGGAACTGAAAAAATCATTGGATTTTGAATTAAAGATTGAAACACACGGTGTCGTACGGAAATGTCTCAACTAACTTAATGAATCATTTCGTAGTTGTCACAATTCTGTCAATTCTGTGTGTATGCATTGGATAAGGTTAAGAAAAGTTAACATAATGTCGACATGGAAATTGGAATGAAGAAATTGATGATCTTGGGATATTGTAACATATAACTGTTTATTAATATTAAAATATATAATTTATAAAGATTCAATTACGTATATAGTATTTATTTAGCTCTGCTGAAACAAAGATGTTCAAAACAATAACATAATTGTTTAATATAATGTAAAGACATTGTCTGAAACAAGGAATCTAAAAATACTGTAATTTAATGTACAGATTGCATTTATCGTTATTTAATTTATTTACTTTATTTAATTTAGTAATTGTGCTAATATAGAATGGTACGTATAAAAATCTCAAATTACCGGTTACATAATAAATAGTATGACTTTTTTTAAATATCGTTGCTAAAATCCTTTTTCTTCTTTTCAATTTCCATTAAGTCAAGATCAAGAACATGAAGTTTTTAAATTTATTTTTTGTGTGTTTCCTCTTGTCATTTTCTCAGGCATCATTTGCTTCACCATGCTTTCCAACAAATGGTGGAGTAGGTCCTACAATGCCTTTTTTCAAAATAATCAAACCGTCTGCTGATTCTTATTCTATGAATGA